GTCCCGGGTTCATGACTCGCTGGACGGCTTCGGTTCCGCTGCTGGTTACAGCTCCGAGACGTCTTCTAGAGCTCCTTGGCATCTCGCCCGGGCATTATCATCCCATAAGCACTAGAGTCTGAGGAAGGAGGAACTTGGGGAGTTCTACGACCCTTCGAGAACATAACTCACCATTTTAGTGTTTGAGAATTCCGAGATGGTAGATTCGAATCATGCACTTCAGTTCGTTTTCATAATATGTTAACTCATGATGGCTGAGCCATGACGAATAAACAGACGTTGGGTTTGTGTGTGTGTGTGTGTGTGTCTGTTTGTAGGATTACGGTAGATTATCTGATGCATTTTTTTCGCCTTTCTTTATTCTCCCATCTTTTCTCTTTTTTTCCCCTTGCTTTCTCCTTATCATTCATTATTTGTGATCCTATCCACATCTCATTGTTATGCAAAGTACATCTTAAGAAAAGTATACGACCAAACCCCACGGCAGAAGCGTAGAGTCGCTTGATCCACGAGCGAGAAGATAGAACACGTGTGGCTAGCGGGTGCCTGAAGGTACGAGTAGTAGAATTGCTTCTCTCTCTCTCTCTCTCTCTCTCTCTCTCTCTCTCTCTCTCTCTCTCTCTCTCTCTCTCTCTCTCTCTCTCTCTCTCTCTCTCTCTCCATCAACTATCCATCCATCCATCACCCCTCCCCCACCTCTCTCTCTCTCTCTCTCTCTCTCTCTCTCTCTCTCTCTCTCTCTCTCTCTCTCTCTCTCTCTCTCTCTCTCTCTCTCTCTCTCATTCTCTCGTTTACCTTTTGTTTTATTTTTGACGTGCCATTAAATACTGCCCGTTGTGAGAATCCCCCTGAACAGACGCGCGCGATGTCACGTTCTGCCGTAAGTGTTAAAGTTCCCACCTTATGGAATATGTATGAGATGCATAAGTGTATAATCATGAGTGCAGTTTCTGTGACGCGAGGAGTTCACGGAGGCCACAGTATGGGTGTGTTTGGAGCATCGTCCGTGGGGGTGCGCTGTGCTAGGCGTTTTCGTGATATTCATTGACGCAGGTCGGCTGATTATCTTGATCAGGAGTAATTTATTCCGTACAGATATTTATTTGCGATACCGTCATGCCTTCGTCGATATCAGAAATGTATGAACAGTAAAATGTCAGTGGCTATGAGACGCCCGATAATGGATTGCGCTGATAACGAGAGATAAGAAATGATTTTGCTTATTACAGATATTTATTAGGAAAGACAAACTCTCTCTCTCTCTCTCTCTCTCTCTCTCTCTCTCTCTCTCTCTCTCTCTCTCTCTCTCTCTTCTCTCTCTCTCTCTCTCTCTCTCTCTCTCTCTCTCTCTCTCTCTCTCTTCTCTCTCTCTCATTCTCTCTCTCTCATTCTCTCTCTCTCTCATCCTCTCTCTCTCTTTCTCTCTCTCTCTCATCCTCTCTCTCTCTCTCTCTCATCCTCTCTCTCTCTTTCTCTCATTCTCTCTCTCGCCTTCTCCCATTCTCTCTCTTTCTCTCTCTCTCTCTCTCTCTCTCTCTCTCTCTCTCTCTATATATATATATATATATATATATATATATATATATATATATATATATTAACATATATACATATATATATATATATATATATATATATATATATATATATATATATATAAATACACATATATATATACATATATATATATATATATATATATATATATATATATGTATATATGTGTGTGTGTGTGTGTGTGTAAAAGGCATATAGATATCATGGTACACGTATAAGAATCACCTCCATATCTATTAATAAAATGGTGTATCTCTTCGCTAGCTTCTCTACCCTTTCTTCCCCCGAACCTTCAGAGCTATACTGCCCCCCCCCCCTCCCACATCAACGCGTCCCCGACCAGCCCTTGACTGGCATTTAGGAGGGGTCACCGCCCCCCCACCCCCCATCATTCGCCCAATACCACTGATCTCTTCCCGTTCCTCTCTCGCCGTGTTTGCGGTTCGGTTTTCCAAGGCTGGTCTTCGCGTAATCTCTCTTTTGTTTTCCAAGTACGCTCGGCAGCCCTCTCTTGCTTCCCCGTACAGGCTCGGCTAAGCTCTTTTCCTACGCGATCGAGGCTCAAAAATAGGTTTCAATGACCGGTTCAGATGGAAGGGGGATAGGTTTCGATACCGTGTTTTCCCGCTCTTTTTTTCCCCCGTCATTTTATTTTTTTATGTTTTTTTTTATTGTGGGTAGGGGAAGGAATGCGTTCTTGCGGTGATTGTGTTTTTTATTATGGTCTCTTATCGGTGATTATCTTGTTATATGCATATGTATTTACTTTTATCTTTTATATTTTTTTATACTGCACTCTGTGACTTCAGTTCATTTCTTTCTGTGTTTGTACGTGTACGGTATGTACGTCATGATTCACCCTCGTGTTCCGCTTCGCAGGTTTCTGAGCTTGTTCTTCGGAAAGCAGAAAAAAAGCATTATATTAGAGGATTTTCTGTCTCATGGACGCTTAAATGCTACCATGAGAATTGCTGAGCCTTATGATCACGAACAAAAACACTGAGTTGGGTGATCGTCGACTTTTCAACGTCTGTGGGTGCGGATGGGTGAGTTTCAGTGTACGGATGACGGAATACGGTGGATGACACTAGCCGGGTCTGACGTCGTGGCTTAAGGATTCCGAGCGTAGGTCATCCGGCACGCGTTGAAGGTTAGCAAGGAAGGATCTTGGAACGTCTCCGCTCTGTGTCCTAGAACGTGCATGTGGTCATCCTAAGCATTGTGCAACGGATGGGGTAAAATACCTCGTTAAAATACAAGGCAGGTTAGGCGAATGGAGAAAAATAAGGAAGGTTAGGCGCATATCACCAAAGCCATCTCAATCATCACAAAAAAGGACTTTGGGACAAGAAACAGAAAATAAATATATATATACGTACAAATTGTTGAGTAAACATGGCGAAACACTCGAGCAACAAACATAAGGAACTACATCTGTTATATACCACATTCAACTAGACCATAGAGATGATAACTTTGAAGAAAAAGAAGAATAAAGTCGAACACGTAACCTCGACATTGAATTTTGTTTTCCGTCTTTTTCCCCAATTTTTTCGACTTGAGTTCTCTCAGCTTTAAACTTTCTGTAATACTTTACGGGTCCTGCACATCAGCTTTAAGTTTTACATGTTTTCTCTTAAGAGTTTCTTGCCGGTAAAAATATAGTTGAACAACGACAATAAGGGTTACTCGATGTAAAATCTGATATGGTTGTGTACATCGTTAAAAATCTATACTAAATTCCTTGTCTCGCGTGTTTATTTATGGGTCCATTTATATTCGCGAAATAGGCTGCTGAGGCCGGATTTAATATCTTGTAGTTTATTGAAGAATATTTTTTTGTTCTGATACGCTGCGGCGAGCTAGACAGACTTTTATTAGAAGTTAGAATCTCTTGATGAATACTAGGCGATTATGATTATCCAGCTCGACGCCGGCTTAGGGACTTAACCAAACACATTAAAGTCTACCGAAAGCAGTCTTACGTGTTGTGTTAATTTCCACATTTCGTGTCCGGGCATGCTTGCAGGAAAGTCTCTTTGATCAACCACGCTAACTCTCTTGAATGTCAGCAATATGTAGAGTCTGACAAGTCGAGGATCTTTCGGCGAACTTCTCCCGGCGCCATAGCAACAATTCTAATGCGAATACTTCCTGCAGTTGGCCGTTTGATTCCAAAATGTTTACAGGGATGTTACCCAACGTCGGCCGTCACCTGAGTGTGACTGATGCGTCACTGAGAACGGGTTATGACTCATGTAGTGACGGGAGAACAGGAGAGCCGAACCGCCGGGCCTGTCCGAGAAGCGATAAAACATGAGATCGCAGTCCGGGCTTCGATATTGTCTACGTGTTGATGCGATAAGGGATATCGAGAAGGATGTTCGGGCCTGACGAGAGGAAACATCAGAGGCCGCCGTCACCCGGGCGGACGTCCCTGCATTCGGGATCAACCTACCTGAAGCATGTGGCGTTGAGAGCATCACCGTGACTCGACAGAAGGAAGGAGCGTGGAAGACCAGGAGACGAGAGTCCGCGCCAGCCCTCGCCTGTGCCGGGAATTGTCTTTTCATTCTTGGAGGACACGCTGTCTTTGGCTCTGTGGCGACGGCGGGCGCAGAAGGCGTTTTTATTTCTCTGTATAGATTTTGCATATATTTGCACACACACACATATATATACATATATAGACATCAAATAATTTATATTCTTCCGCGTATAGGTAGCTCTCTGTTTTCGAGGAAACAATGAATATTCTTGCACGGGTTCACGTTTGCGTGCTGTACATGATATATTCCTTCTACGAGGAAGGTTTAACATATGTTCGCTTAATGCTTCTGTATAAAGAATTAGACATGTATGTTTAGATGATTAACTACTGTTTTCTTATATATAAATTTCTGGTACACTCGCGTACGCCCGGAGGCATTTACACACCAGTGAGCCTTATAGACGGTGATCCATAGGGAACAACTTGGCTGTAGCAGATGATTGTTTAAAGAAGTGGCTTGTTTGGTCTCTCCCGTTCCCCTGTTCACTTCTGTTTGCTTTAGACCTCATTAGTTCCTGCGCAAAGTATGTTTTCGTGGCAGAGAAAATATTGTGCTGAAGACATAATCGTAGATGGGTTTTATAGATTATCTCTCGGGGGCTTCTTATCTGTTATCTCGGCTGCTATCGGAAAACCGGTTGTGGTCGTTCTGTGCTTATCGAATGCAAATGTACCATAATTGCACTTTCAGGAGCTACTAAGGGCGTTCTACATACGTCACTCGGGTTTATTTTTACTCCTCGACCCAACCATAATGATGTCTGTTTAACTTTACTTCATTTTAATCTAACTTTGACATACCCAGATAGATAATTGAAACGACAATGTAGACCTTTTTTTAAAATGACACGAAAGTAATTCCCATACCTAATTCCCATTTTCTGTATTTCAGGCTACGTCAGTGTAGTAGGAGCCATGATTGGAGGAGCGTGCCAAGGTGCCACGCCCACTACGCTAGCCCAGCCAATCGGAGCTGCTCTTCGACCCCCCTGGCCTTCAGCTTCTATTGAAGGTTGGTGGCCTGCTTAACCTATTCCTATTCGAACGTCTGTGCCTTTCCCGCCAGCAAGGCACAATTGTATGTTGACCTCCGGGCCCTGAATCTTGGGCACTCGCAGTTTGTTCCATGTGTTATGAAAAAGTATTTTTGCCTTCGGGGCCAAGAAATTGAGATATTTTGGCTTTTAGTGGACGTTGCCTTCGGGTTCGTGGGGGTCGTCTGTCGCGGACTAACATCATACCTTCTGTCGCTGGGAATTGAAAGCAGCCAGGACAAGTCTCGCGACGTGGCTCTTGTCCAATGTCGTTGCGCTGATGACACGCTGACGATAAACTGACGGGACGCTATTACTTGTGACAGGTCAGCCTCCAGCGGGAGTCATGACGTCACTGTAGGTTGGGGGGGGGGGGGCTGATCATACCTTGTTTGATAAGGCAATGCATTACTTCCTTCGTTTAGTTTGGTTCATGATTAACGAGTTTCACTTTCCTATCTTTGTTGATATCAAAGTTGCTTCAGTCTGTCATTTCGTTCCTTTTCCCTGCGCTTGCATTATGCTTTCCTTTAGAGGCCACGCTCATCTGTGGAATCGAAGAAAAGGAGCGAGACAGAAAGCTTCCTTAGGCGACGTTGGGGATCAGCTGTAAGAACCTGGACCGGAAAAATCTCTCCTTTCTTCCCCCGCTCCCCATCTACCCCCCTCCCCCCTCGTACCCTTAGCAGCGCCGCCCCGGGGGTTCACAAAAGGGAACCGAGACCGCATGTGGGGCACTCGGAGCGATCCCGGTAGACACAAGATACAAAAAAAAGACTTACGAAGCCATAAGTCAAAGTCGGTCGGGAAGATTAGCATTGTGGTTGCCTGAAGGCCTTTCCTCTCTCTGTCTGTCTCCATTTCTCTCTCTCTCTCTCCCTCTCCCTCTCTCTCTCTCTCTCTCTCTCTCACTCACTCTCTCACTCACTCTCTCTCTCTCTCTCTCTCTCTCTCTCACTCACTCTCTCTCTCTATCTCTCTCCCTCTCCTCTCTCTCTCTCTCTCTCTCTCTCTCCTCTCCTCCTCTCTCCTCTCCCCTCTCCCTCTCCCTCTCCCTCTCCTCTCCCTCTCCCTCTCCCTCTCCCTCTCTCTCTCTCTCCTCTCTCTCCTTCTCTCTCTCTCTCTCTCTCTCTCTCTCTCTCTTCTCCTCCTCTCTCTTGCTTTCTTTCTTTTACTTTCTCCCTCCCTCCTTCCCTCCTTCTTTCTCTTACTTCCATCCTCCCTCTTTCCCCCTCTCTCTCTATCTGTCTATCTATCTGTCTCTATCTATTTGTCTATCTATCTCCCTCCCTCTCTCCCTCTCTTTCACTCTCTCTTTCTCCCTCATTCTCACAGTGTGTTTAGATGCTAATGATAAGAAAGAAGAAAAATAAAAACAATAAAGATTAAAACTCGAATCCACAGAGATAACCAGTGAGACGGAAAGAGTCATAGAAAGAAATAATAAAGAAATAGAAAAATAATCGGTAATCCAAAGACAAAAGCAGACAGAGAGGAAGTAATTAATTAAATTAAAAAAAAAATAATAATAATACAAAGACAAACAGACACAGAGAAAAAAATAGATAAAACGAATAATTAATCCAAAGGAATAAACAGACAGAGAATATAAAAAAACAATAATTAATTGAAAGACAGAAACAGACACGGAGAAGAAAATGAATAAAGAGAAGAAAAGAATGAGGAAGGCAAAAGGAGAACAGAGCAGGAGGTTGTTTATCACACGAGCGGGAGAGAGCGGGTGTGGCGCCATGGTCCTCGCCGTCACCGCCAGCCCAGTCAGTTATTGCGCGCCTCGGCTCCCACCCTCCCTGCTAGCTCTCTCGGCGCCGCTTGCTAGTAGTGCTGTTTCCGTATTGTGTGGTTGGTTGCTGTTTTTGTTTTTTTTGTTTGTTGGTTGGTTGTTTCGTTTGTCTGTTGTTCTTGTGGCTGTTGTTTTTTCGTTATTTTTTTTTTCTTTCTTTCTTAAAATAGCTTTTTATTTTTCTTGTTTGTAATCTACTAGTTTTGCCTTGCTAGTTTACAGTTCCTCACTTGTCTCTTGTTGATTTTTTTTTTTCTTGCCGTGCGTACGCCATAAACTCGTGTGGCGTCTTCCTCAGAATTGCCTCATTACCCCTTCGTTATTCTTGCACTCACATTCATCTCCTTCTTTAGAATCGCTCCGTCGCCCTCGTCGCAGACACTCCCTTACCTCATTCAAGATCACCTCATCTTTCCTCCCTCACTCTCTCCCACGCCAGACCTCCTTCAACTAGCCTCTCTCACCTGGTATACACGCTCCCCTAGTAAGCACCCTCCCTCACTCACTCACTCACTCACTCAGTCGCTCAGACACTCACACACACATTCACTCACTCACTCACTCACTCACTCACTCACTCACTCACTCACTCACTCACTCACTCACTCACTCACTCACTCACTCACTCACTCACTCACTCACTCACTCACTCACTCACTCACTCACTCACTCACTCACTCACTCACTCACTCACTCACTCACTCACTCACTCACTCACTCACTCACTCACTCACTCACTCACTCACTCACTCACTCACTCACTCACTCACTCACTCACTCACTCACTCACTCACTCACTCACTCACTCACTCACTCACTCACTCACTCACTCACTCACTCACTCACTCACTCACTCACTCACTCACTCACTCACTCACTCACTCACTCACTCACTCACTCACTCACTCACTCACTCACTCACTCACTCACTCACTCACTCACTCACTCACTCACTCACTCACTCACTCACTCACTCACTCACTCACTCACTCACTCACTCACTCACTCACTCACTCACTCACTCACTCACTCACTCACTCACTCACTCACTCACTCACTCACTCACTCACTCACTCACTCACTCACTCACTCACTCACTCACTCACTCACTCACTCACTCACTCACTCACTCACTCACTCACTCACTCACTCACTCACTCACTCACTCACTCACTCACTCACTCACTCACTCACTCACTCACTCACTCACTCACTCACTCACTCACTCACTCACTCACTCACTCACTCACTCACTCACTCACTCACTCACTCACTCACTCACTCACTCACTCACTCACTCACTCACTCACTCACTCACTCACTCACTCACTCACTCACTCACTCACTCACTCACTCACTCACTCACTCACTCACTCACTCACTCACTCACTCACTCACTCACTCACTCACTCACTCACTCACTCACTCACTCACTCACTCACTCACTCACTCACTCACTCACTCACTCACTCACTCACTCACTCACTCACTCACTCACTCACTCACTCACTCACTCACTCACTCACTCACTCACTCACTCACTCACTCACTCACTCACTCACTCACTCACTCACTCACTCACTCACTCACTCACTCACTCACTCACTCACTCACTCACTCACTCACTCACTCACTCACTCACTCACTCACTCACTCACTCACTCACTCACTCACTCACTCACTCACTCACTCACTCACTCACTCACTCACTCACTCACTCACTCACTCACTCACTCACTCACTCACTCACTCACTCACTCACTCACTCACTCACTCACTCACTCACTCACTCACTCACTCACTCACTCACTCACTCACTCACTCACTCACTCACTCACTCACTCACTCACTCACTCACTCACTCACTCACTCACTCACTCACTCACTCACTCACTCACTCACTCACTCACTCACTCACTCACTCACTCACTCACTCACTCACTCACTCACTCACTCACTCACTCACTCACTCACTCACTCACTCACTCACTCACTCACTCACTCACTCACTCACTCACTCACTCACTCACTCACTCACTCACTCACTCACTCACTCACTCACTCACTCACTCACTCACTCACTCACTCACTCACTCACTCACTCACTCACTCACTCACTCACTCACTCACTCACTCACTCACTCACTCACTCACTCACTCACTCACTCACTCACTCACTCACTCACTCACTCACTCACTCACTCACTCACTCACTCACTCACTCACTCACTCACTCACTCACTCACTCACTCACTCACTCACTCACTCACTCACTCACTCACTCACTCACTCACTCACTCACTCACTCACTCACTCACTCACTCACTCACTCACTCACTCACTCACTCACTCACTCACTCACTCACTCACTCACTCACTCACTCACTCACTCACTCACTCACTCACTCACTCACTCACTCACTCACTCACTCACTCACTCACTCACTCACTCACTCACTCACTCACTCACTCACTCACTCACTCACTCACTCACTCACTCACTCACTCACTCACTCACTCACTCACTCACTCACTCACTCACTCACTCACTCACTCACTCACTCACTCACTCACTCACTCACTCACTCACTCACTCACTCACTCAGTTGGAAGGATAAAGGAATAAAGGAACGGATGATGAAAAGAAATAAAGTAACGGATTTCAACGTTATGCAAATTCTGAGACTGGTCAGTATCAAATATGTTTTTCGTGCTTTATACTTTATACTTTACTCTTTATACTTTAAGCACCTAATAGCAGTTTTGGAATTTCTCAATCCGGGAATGCATTAGAAAATCAAATTGCACAGCGATCCACCCTCGTAACGTTTTCTTTTTTTCTCTCTTCTTTTTCTTTTTCTTTTTCTTTTTCTTTTACTTTCGTTTTTTTTTCTCTTTTTTTTTTCCTTTTTTGTACTTTAGTCGCATACGGTTGCACAGTTGTCGAGAAAGCAGAGAAGTTGGAGAAGCAAAAGTTTTAGATTATTTCTGAACGAAAAAGAAAGATGCAAAGAGAGAGGAAGAGTTGGATAGATAAACACATAACTCGGTAGATAGAGGAAGAGGGAGAGCGCGCGTGCATGCGTGCGTGGGGGTTATGTGTGTGTGTTCACTTGAAAGTGCGTGTGAGCGTTCGTCGAAAACACCTTTCATGAAACTATTTGCGATAAGTTT